GTTGCAAAGTCTCAATTTACAACACTGACAGGCGACGCCATCTAGCGATGATTTTTGAAGGTAACGTCTCCGTGGTACCCTTGTGTATATACTTTTTTTTATTTAATATGAAATATGGTAAATTATAAAAATTTCTTTATGATAAATCCACTTATATTTCATGTTTAAATAAAAAAAAATAACTTGAAATATTACTTTTTAAATTAAACCCATCTTCAATTTATTTGATGAGTTGTTGATACGATTTTTTCTCATTTTGCAGTAAAATTGCCTCTGGAAATGACTTAATTCCACAGGGTTTTATTTTGATTTCCGGCAAAATTATTGCAGTCATTTTTTTTATTAGTTTGTCTTCGCCAAGCAGAGATCAAACAAAACTAAATTCAATTCAAACAGAAAAAAAAAACCCTTTTTGATCGCATTTCACTTTAAAACTGATAATATTAGAACTGTGAGGTTTTCAATTGCAAGATTTATTTTGCTAAAAGTTTTATCCAGCTGAAACAAAAATAGTGTAACATGAATACAGGGAGTTTGTGGCAAAATCAAATAATATCAGTGAAAATCGTATATTGTAGTAATCACAATATATGTTTAATATTAAAATACATTGCTTTATATATAACACTTCTGCCTTTTCACATTTTATAAAAACAAATAATTTAACTATTATACATATATTTTATCTCAAAACTATTATTTTCACTTACAATAAGATAACTCAAAATCTTTTAAAACAATCTCAAAATATTTTAAATATTTTATTTGACGTTTAAGAGAGCCATCTATATAAAAAAATCATGTTTCACAGTTGGTAAGCATGGCCATTCATATAGCGAGAATAGTATTTGTAATGCAGTGCATAAAACTTAATAGGAAAATAATTGCATTTTAAAAGCAGTATAATATAGAGCACCATAGTTTAAGTGAAAATTTTGAAAATTATTTTACAAAAATCAAGAAATATAACTAGATATATTAGATTAAATTTCTTGTATCTTAATGTTAACCCGAAATACTTCATATTTTCATACTAATTTGTTTGAATTATCTCTAGAAGAAAATTAGCTAAAATACAAATAATATTCTTGAAACAAAACCACGCACATTAAAATTTCCCATGTATTTTACAAATTATCCGCATTCAAATTATTAATTCTGATGCACACCCAACGTAGTTAGTAGAAAGGTTTCGCTCTTTTGATATTCGTTTACAAATAAGCTTAAGAAACTAAAGTTACCCACGAAGTTTCATTTGACTAAGGAGATGTTGAACTTTGTAATACTTTCATTAATATTAATGTAATCTTACGCTGACTAGAATGGAAATAGTTTCGTGAAATTACTTTTACAATTTGTAACAATGTTAGGTACAATTAAAAAGACCATTGCATTTCTAATGATTGTTTAAGTGTCAATGATTTTGTCTAGTGCGATTCTTGGCACTATAAGCGAAAATGGTCATTCGCGTTTTTGGTCTCTATGGTAATTAACTAGCAGATAGACGAGTGTTAATAATTAGCAAATTTTAGAAGTAATGTGTTACAAAAGTACATTACTTTTTCCACTATTAATATAGGTATTATGTTAAAAATTTGTAAATATATAAACTATTATATGATAAAAAAACATAATTATATGAGTATTATACAAAAGTCTCCATAGAAAATCGGGGAATAAAACATTTTGTCGAATTTGTTGGCAATTCAACAAAAAATAAATTAACTTCATGCCAATCCAACTGTAATTCTAAACCTAGGCGTTTCTTTATCGCCATTTTGTAGTTTTAAAACAAAACACATAAATTTTCATCTATGCATTCTTTTACACACTTTTTGGGTATGTAATATTTCTTGTTTAACCCCGAACCGCCATGAAAATCATTTTCCATTTTGGTGCTAAAACCTGCGGCCGAAAAAACATCCCGTTTTTTGCGATAAAGCACTTACTGGACTTACACATACATCTAAATAATGAACCGCAAAAAGCAGGAAAATTTTCGTCCATTTAGTAGGGACACGATAAAATCGTAAAGTTGATAGCCACTGGGGAAAAATCCTGAAAGGCAATATTTACGAGTACGAGAGTTTCACTTTACGTTTTATGACGATGTTAGTACACAATTTCCAGTTTTATTTACGCGTCTCTCGATAAGATAAGCGGAAACGCTAGTGTTAATTCAAATTAAAAGGAATTTATTGCAATCACGCTTTAGTGTATCTCGCGGGACCGGTTGAGAATGTTTATCCAAATTGCTCAGGAAATATAACTTCCATTCTAGCGACTTAAGTAATTTATTTTAATGGAACTCTCTTCCTTTTTTTGTGCCATTTGTTTTTGCAGCAACGCTACACCTAATATGAAAAACGAAAGCAATTTAAGCAACATTAATATATTTCCAGCACCCGACTATATAATATTTAGAAAATTTAGAAATACACCTAAATTTTATAGACTCAATCTAGATCAGGTGACATAAGCATCGTTATACAAAAAAAAAAAATATATCTATAGTACTTTTTTTTTAATGTTAGGCATACGACTATAGTCTATTTTTATGTATGAGAGAGTAATAAAACAGCATTTCTAATGCAAAACTTATTACGGTCATTTTAAATATTTTTACAGAATAATCTAAATATTTCCTAAAATTGTAATAAATGTACCTGAGCTATTACAAGTTTTGGGTCTTTTATTGGTCCTTTATAAACATAAGCTGTACAGAACAATAGAAAAAGGTTTGGACAGTCCAAAAGCCCTGTGTATTAAAGATTACATAGCCGTATCTTAAGATTATTTTCAATAAGTACCTATTTGCCAATTTTGTTTTATTTTAATTCCAAGAATTTCTTACAGTAATCGAATTATAAGTAGATAAATACCTTCCCAACAAATTTCACCGAAAATGCGATTATAGGTTTTCCATTTAGTGAGGAGGTCCAAGTTGTGTATTCTTGACAGTTTACTAAATGTCGTTTAGTTGCAACTTGCAAGGTGCAGTGTGAATTCTAGTGTGATCATAGAAAATTTGGAAGGGCCGCGTAAACGACAAAAAAGTGAAATTTGGTACAAATGCTAAACTTTTTACGCTCTATTTAATGGAATAAATTACAGTGTTTGATCATCTTCATAGGTGTATACATTAGGGGGGCTTAGGGTAAAATTTCCCTAAGTTCTTTGTTGAGAGATTTTAACATTTTTGACTACAAAATTTGAAAAACCAGTGTTTTCACTAGTAATACCACTAGAGGTCAAAAAATTTCCTGATATTAATTTGACCTCGCGTGGTATTCGGTAAGAAAATTCCACGCCGAATTATGGTTGAAAATTAAAAATTTTTAAAATTTATTTTTCGTTTCTCAACAATGCAAATTATTTTCTCCAAGTCACCAGTGAAACATAAAAGGTGTTGTCGCCTTGATTGTTGAGTTGTCATGGTAACTAAGTGAGACCCTAACCTCGAATATAATTTCAGTTTTGAAGTTGTCAAGCGGCCCGACGTAAAAAAATGTTTCGCTGCAATTATTTAGGCCTTCAAATTGCTTATTTCTACTCATTGTAGTTGCATGGGAATACCATTTGAAAATAGAAAATAGTATATTCTTTAATTTTACGTAAGTTTTGAATAACTACAAGTGGTAGAAAATTGTTTTTCTGCGTTTTTATTAACATGCGTTATGAGCGCTTTAAAATGGTATGAAATTCATAACCAGCGTCAGCAAGCATCAATCGTAGGAGGCTGTGATCATTGTATTTTGACAGTTCAAAACATTAAATAACTCGCGTTTTGTTGCGATAAAGAATATTGCACAGCAAGTAAAACCAACAAAATTACCTATTTGTTTAAAAATGAATCGATTTGAAAATCATACGCTATGCAAAATATGCGTGAAATTGTCTGATGTAATGATCAATCATTGCACCATGACTTACTTACTCACTCGGATTAATAGAGGATTGTGGCTCCAACTTGAAAAACGAAAATTTGTTCCGAATTGTCCACGAATATTTGCATCTAAACTACGCAAAATTCAAAGTGCTGAATGGGAAAAAGGTGAATAAATTAGTGTCTAAATATTATATATATTTTATTAGACACAGACACATAATTCAAAGCATCCAAAGTCCTGCATTTTCGCCATTAAGAAGAAAAGAAGTGGCCGAAGAATATAGAAAACACCTTAGCATTGTAACTAAAATGTATCAAAACTAAACCTATTATGTGAACAAATAAAAACCAGTCTGTCAAAAATGGTCTGTTATTGTAAACGTCAAAAAATTTCCAGTATAATTCGCTGTTGGGTACCCCACGAGAAAAAAATTTCCACTAAAATACCTCCGTTGCCATGGTGATCTGTCAAAAACACGTATTTTGATTGGTTCAAAATTACAGGTGTGGAATTTTCTTTATAATAAAACTACTTTTGTTGCATTACCCTAGGACGCACCATTTTTATGAGAGAAGCATTTGATTTTCATTTTATTTAAAAGTGCAAAAAAATAATTAGTATTATCACGCGCCTTTCGATCGTGACTCGGTAGTGACTCTATGTGCTACCTGACTTAGGAAAATAAAAGAGCAACAACAATTAACAATTTATTAAAAATAAACAATATATCCAAAATATTACAATAATATAAAAAGGGCCTTACCAAGGGCTAAATATCTAAAGGCGACGAAAGTACGACACGTCACTTCTTCTAAAGGTAACGAACGAGCCGCAGGCATCGCAAGAATCGCATCGCAAGAATCGCATTTATTTCCTAGATGCGTTCACTTACCAGTATCGAGCTACAGGAATTTTAGAATCAGTCACATTTTTGTGCATCCGTCACGAACAGTTTAGTTTTGAGCAAAATGAATGACACTGAAGAAGAACTCATAGTAGTTGTCAGCTGCTTGTTAGCAGAAGACGAAAAGTAAGAGAAAAAAACGAAAAGTATGGGTACACAATATATGCAAGAAACGATTGCTGTTTGGCGAATTTTACGCATGATTTCCCGATCTGGTTGAGGACGAAGTGAAATTTTTTCAGTATTTTCGAATGAGTCATGAGAAATTTAAAACTCTTCTTGATATTCTAAGGCATCAATTAAATAGAAACAATACAACATTCAGAAGGGCTATTGGAGCTAAAGAACGACTCGCAGTGACTTACGGTAAGTTTATTTAATTTTAATTTTTTTATATACAAAAATTGCAAAGAAAAAATATTAACATTTTAATTATAACCGTTATGATAATCATAGTAGTTGGGCTGATAAGTATTCTCCTGAGAAATGCCTTCGCTATTTAGGGGTTGACCTGTAGTTTTGAAGGGAACAGCTGAAGCTGATGCAGACGAAACTGACTTGAAACTCTGCGGAGAGACAACAGGCAGCGAGTTTTGTAAGGTGCCTGCATTTGCTTCGCTTGAGAGCATCTTCAATTCTACGGCACTTACCATTTCAAACAGTTTGGATTTAATCTGAAGTTGATTCATTGGCGGAAATCCATTTACCGTTTCATCCATGGATAGGAAAAAGTTTGTTAAGACGTCTTCACTTTTAGTAGTATTATTATTCATAGATTGGCTTCTTCTTGTTTCCAAGTAATCCTGAAGAACCATAGCCGCAGAAGGAGGCTGCACTTGCAGAACGACTGGAGGACGATGCAGAAGTCACCGGAGGAAGCGATGTGTCCTTGTTTACTGGTTGACTGTAATCCTCTTCAACGTGATTACTTTCTTCTACTTCACTACCTGCAGTGCTTGGTGAAGCTTTACTCGAAGGTTTAGAGATATTTGAGTGCCTGCTTTCTTCGTCAAAAAGATATGGCACCAAAAATGTCAACTGTTGATCAAACTTTGGCGTTTTCATTTTCTTTGAGGCTTGCCCACTTTTGGTTTTACGCAAGTTTAAAGCTCTGCGGTGATTTTCACGTATTCGAGCCCATCGTTCGCGACACATTTTACCTGAAATGCAAAAAAAAAGTATATCCCTATCTATCTGATTCTATTCTCATACAGAACATTTTCTTTTAGGTATTTAGCTACGGGAAAATCCTTTAGGTCCCTGGCATTTAATTTCCGTGTTGGTGAAAGCACTATAAGAGAAATTATCTACTCAACTTGTGAAGCCATTTGGATCGAACTACAACCCATTGTAATGCCAGAACCCGATGAGGATATGTGGAATCGAATAGAAAACAAGTTTTACAGAAAGTGGAATTTTCCAAACTTACTAGGTGCCATGGACGGAAAGCATGTAGTAATTCAAGCCCCTCCACACACTGGATCACAGTTTTTTTTTGCTACAAGAAAACGTTTAACGTTGTTATCTTGTGTTTGATAGATGCAAACTTTAAATTTATTTATAGCAGTAGATGTGGGAGAAATTCCGAAGGTAGTATTTTCAAACATTCAAATTTTGGGAAAAAATTGCTTGGAAATGAATTTGGATTTCCACCGAGCAAAGCTTTGCCTGGAAGTAATCAAGTTCTACCACACGTAATCATCGGCGATGAAGCATTCCCATTGTGCACAAATCTGATGAGGCCGTACTCACGAGAGGCAGCCCAAGGTGATGAAGAAAAGAAGGTTTTCAATTACAGACTTAGCCGAGCACGAAATGTTTCCGAAAATTAATTTGGCATCTTATTAAGAAAATTTCGAATTTTCGAACACAAATTGTGCTTATCTCACGAATATATTAATTTGGTTGTTCTTGCTACTTGCTGCCTGCATAATTATTTAAGAAACGACACTTGCCACTGGTCGGAATCTGATTTAAATATTAACGTTTCCGAGATTGAAGGTTTGCAACGTTTAAATGGAATTGGTGGAAATGCCAGCAACGCTGCGTTAAGTATTAGAGACAAGTTTAAAACATATTTTAATTCACCTGCAGGCTCCCTACCGTGGCAGTTGGATAAAGTCTGCATCGGAAAACAAATCGTTTAACGTAAAAATAAACGAGGTACTTTCTATATGCTTGGAAATAAAGGTTATGTACTCACTTGGCAATTTCATGATGTTTCCTATCTCCTCCCATATATTATCCCTTCGCTGTTGGTTGGAATACTGCGAATGTTTTAGATTGTATAGTTCTTCGTAATTTTGTACTAATGTAATTAATACCTCGCCATCCATATTTCCTTGACGATTGCAACACGACTACTGCACGTGTAGGGAACAAAATACTGCAAAACTCTTCTAGTACGATTCGGCAACCTGCGCTCACTGATCGGAATTACGTCGTACGTCATCAAACCGCGTCGCACGAGCCGAAATTATATTCTTTTAAAAAATCCTGGCCGTATTTACGGCAATGCGTTTCGTGCGACTCGAGACAGTGAGCGCATTTTCATTTAAACCAATGCAAAGTATAGTTTCTTACGATTTATTCGGTGAGTGCAGCTCGCTCGGCGCGCATCAGTGGGCGCTTACCTTAAGAGTGTCATTGTTGTTGACCTAGTCGATTTTTATATTAATTGATTAAGGTCAGTACGTGTCTAGTCTAATGTTATATTTACATTTTTCGAAGATGAATTTATGAATAGAATCTACTGTTTATCAAAATATTATATAAAATATGCTGAATTATTTAATGTAACGAATGTATATTAAAATAGAAAATGTATATTTTATATATAGGATGACAGGGCCGGCTCTAGGCATGTATTAAATATTAGTACATTTTCCCTGACTTGACAATTTCTCTAAAGTTATTATGGGGCATTTATTATAGTTATGAAAGGTCTGACATAAAAGTTGAAGAAAACGAAAAATTAGGAAATTATTCATGCATATATAAAAAGTTATAGGTACCTAGATACTTTCATTTTAATTGTTTCCAAGGTTTCTGTTGATGGATACTTTAATTTTGATGACTTAAAAAAAATTAGGAATTAATTCCACTCTATCTCACATAAAAATGAATAAAACTACATTTTCCACGGTTAAAAGCGGAAAACTGGCATTTAAATGATAATAACTTCTCGACTCAAGAAACTATTAAAGGATATAATGGCTTTCCATAAAGTAAATCCTTCCCACTTATACAATCCAATTACGAGGTCCTTCTGCCGTTTCAATTAATTCACTATCAAGTATTCTTCCGGAAGTATACGAAAGATCCGGTACGGAATAACAAGAAAATGGCCTACTTCGTTAAACAAACTGTTGATTAATGGTTCTAATGCCTCTTAATAATGTTCCTACCAATATCTCTTGTCCACAACATTAATTTTGACTTGGCGTTGTGCTGCCAGGATGGATCAGCTATCATAACAGTGCAGGTCCGTACCTAGAACGTGATTAACCGTTTAAAACGGGTTGGACACTTTTTTCTAACGATTTAGAAGAAATTCAAACTTAAAGTGACATGTAGATGTTATATCTTGAATAACACTAAAGATTTTTTATAAAATATATATTATTACTGAAAAGTATAAAGTATGTTTCTTGAAGGTGAGTTGTTATAAACTAAAGATTTAAATTTGTGTCAGCCCTATTTATAAGATAGGTAAAACCATAGATACAACAAAAAGGTGTTGGATTTACAAGAAATGCAACTTAGTTGAATATAATCCTAGAGATCAATGATAACTATTCTAGGAATAGCAACTAAGCATAATTCAACTCTAATGAATTTATTATGAAATAATATAAAGTATGAATTTTGTATTAAACATAGATAAACTATGTGTCTATAGAAAGAAAATTCAGCATTATTACCACATCCCTAACTAGCCATTGATAAAATTGTATTTGTTATGAAGCCATCACGCCATCTCTAAATCGAAGTGAAAGGATCAATTATCAACATTTCTACCAACTCTCCTCATCATCATCATCATCATCATCATCATCATCATCATCATCATCATCATCATCATCATCATCATCATCATCATCTATTAATTGTATAGTCCAGGAGACAGTGACAACTTTCGGTATTTATTTTCCCCGTCAGCAAACATAAGTAGATAATTTTAGGGTTAGGAATTCTAAGCAAAATTCATATGTATTTAAAGGGGGGTCCGATGGGTTGAGGCCAAAAATGCATCAGAACATACGAAAACTCGGCCTCTTTTTTCCAGTGATAAAAATAGTTTTAGTAGTAAAGAGGTATACTGAAGTTAATTAAAAAAATATATACAGTGAGCATCATAAGTCTTACCCCCCCTAACTAACTCGTTACTGGAGTCTTGTTAGGAAAATCGCCGAGAGAGGTCGATTTTTGATTTCTACAGTGTACATTTTTGTATGATTAGTTTACCCTTAATTTCATCCCTTACTGGAGGAGAGCAACCCTTTCGAAAAATTTAAATGGCATGGGGTGGCGAGTGATAGCTCATTTGAAAGGGGGTTTTATTCTCTATTCAACCATGCAAAAAATTTTGAAATTTGCTTCATTACGTGTTGATTTATTAATGTTTAAAAATAACAAATCCTCACAAAATAGGAAAGCAACTAAACTAACAGTGACCTTCTAATGGCAAAAAGTCTTACTTCACGTCTGAACCAAAACCGAAATCATGCAGGGCCGAATTTTAATTCTAAGGATGAGTGCGCTACGTTAATTTCCGTTATTCTGAAACAACAATTAGTCGAGAATTAATGAAGCAAATTTCAAAATTTTTAAACGGTTAAATAGAGAATAAAACCCTCTTTCAAATGAGTTATCACTCACCACCCCATGCCATTTAAATTTTTCGAAAGGGGTGCACCCCTCCAGTAAGGGATGAAATTAAGGGTAAACTATTTATACAAAAATGTACATTGTAAAAATCAAAAATCGACGTGTCTCAGCGATTTTCCTAGCAAGACTCCAGTAACGAGTTAGATAGGGGGGGTAAGACTTATGGTGCTCACCGCATAAATAATAATAATTAATCTGTGAGTATGGATAATATATTTGGCAAGTACATAAAATACGCTTTCCAACGAGTTATGTATATAATGTTTCCTACGACCACAACTATTTAAAGAATGTTCCAGGTGTATTAAAGTGCACGCATAGGACACAGAAATAAAATCATATATCACAATGTAGCACCTCACTAGTTGATTTATTTATAGAAATAAAACAAAGTAATTGAAGAAATTACAAAAGAAAATAGGAAGTAAATTACATTTCCTTTTACACTTATTGCTGTTTAGTTTTAGAATTTCTTAATAGTTTTGACAAAAGTCTACTCTACATTAATTATTATTATTATTTTTAGTTTCGTTATGTCAAATCATTTATACTAAACGTGTGAGAAACAGACAGTCAACTGTATATTTAAATGGAACGCCAATATCGTTGGGTACGCGTGGTAGAAATGGTCCTCTAATGCTGCTAAAAACATAGCTAATTTTTTATAAAAACACCGTACTTTTGACATTTGCCATACTCCGATGCATACGCATTATTGATGTAATCTAATCATTTTACAGTACCAGTTTTAACAATTTTAGGTGTGATTTTAAGGTTATTAATGTTATTCGTTTTGTTTGGTTCTGATCTTTTGCGTTTTTAGAGTATTTGTGTTTTATAGTTATAGTTTTTAATTTGAATTTTAACTGTGTGGTCTATTTATATTTGATTGCTGCTTTTTGATTAGTGCTTTGTTCTTTATTTTGTCTTAAAATAAGCTTCATTACCATTAAGTACCTGCTTCTGGTTGATATCTAACTAATCGTCATCGGTTTCTTGCGACAATGGGTAAAAGTGTATAGTTTTGTGGTGTAAGTCTCCATTTTTCAGGAAATGATGACTAGTTATTTTTTACTTAAAAGGATAATACGTCTAAGCCAAATGGTTGGCTAAGTGTCTTCTTTTGCGGCACCCAGTACAGAAAACTATATAGTTATATATTATGTTTTTTAATAGGTATGCAGCTTGGATGAGGGCTCTAGGAAGAGATACTAAGACTGAAACGCTGACTATCATAAATGTCGTTTTTAGTGCACATAATAATAATAATAGCGGTCCCTTTCCACGCACAAGCTCAGCTTTTGGGGTTAAAATTCACTCGTAAGGGGGTGAATTAGGGAGAGTATTATTATTATGTGTAAACAATTCGTCGCAACGTTCCTAAGGCTCCGACAAACCCAGTACATTACGCGCAAGGCCTGATCGCTGAGAAGATCACTCTGCTCGGTCAGTGATCTTCGGCCAAATTCAATTGCCTCAAAAGATGAAGGGACCCAAGCACTACTGCTTTTTGCATCTTCACCACTAGTTGTTTTGATGAGTCTCGGCAAGCCGGTATTTTTTGTAGCTCCTTGAGCATAGTGTCCTTGATTCCCCCTAAAACACCCACAATTAGGACTACTATTCTTACACTATATTCTGGATACATTCTTTGCAACTCACCAATCAGTAGAATGTATTTGGTACCCTTTTCCCTCTTCTTAATAAGAATGTTGGTTTCAGATGGTGCAGAAAACTCAATGGCAAACATTGAATGACTCTGCTTGTCCAACAGCATCAAATGGTGCTTGTTAGCGTGAAGTCTTGTTGCTGTGGAAAAAGCGTAATTCCAATAAATACGGCAACTGTTATTTTCCACTACCGCTTCAATTTCGTCTGGGGCGTATGGCAGAACTGGTGTCTCATCTATACCATAGTGATGTCTTAGATAATAGTAGAAAACTCGCAATGCGGCGTTGTGCCTGTAGATGTACCTAGACACAGTTTGCACAGGGCAAGCGGACAGAAGATGCATTAATGTCTCCGGGTATTGTTGGCATGTTCTGCATCTAACATTCGCCACAGTATACGAAAGTATTAATTACGCCATTCTGACAAGCTAACAAGAACCCTTCTGTCTCAAACTTCTGGTCAGCTGATCGAAGAAAGGAGAAAGTTAATTCCCGAGATAGATTAAGATCTTCTATGTTCCAGTAAAAAACACCGTGTTGGGTAGCTGTTGTTCTGTTGCCCTAACTAGACGTTTTACATGAGCGGGTTCCAACCTTGTAAGAGATTGGTTGTTATCTATGTTAAATCTGAGATCTAGTTCATCCGCAGTTTTACCTGCAACCTTAAAAAGAAAAGCCCCGATACCAGTTGTTTCATTGTCTCGAACCAGCTGGAGTAGTGGGTCCGCACTATTGGCTACCTTGCAAGCCAAACTCACGCAACTCATGCAACCTTT